ATCAGTGTCTGGTCCTCCTGTTCTAACACGTATGACACCACCCATCCCTCCAAGACCCGTTCAACAGGCATACCGCCCTACATACAGCTCATTTCCCTCCTCATACAGCCCTTATGGGAGCTCTATCTATGGGGGCTACAGCCCCTACAGCTACAGTGGTTATGGAGTTGGAGGGGGCATGGGTTATAACCGCTATAACCAAATGGACGACATCCCACCCAGCCGCTTTGTCCAGCAGGCAGAGGAAGGCAGCCGTGGAGCATTTCAGTCCATTGAAAGCATTGTCCACGCCTTCTCGTCGGTCAGCATGATGATGGATGCTACTTTCTCTGCCGTCTATAACAGCTTCCGTGCTGTTCTGGATGTGGCCAATCACTTCTCCCGCTTGCGCATACATTTCACAAAAGTGCTGTCTGCTTTCGCCTTGGTTAGGACCCTTAGATACCTATATCGCAGGCTGCAGAGGCTGCTGGGGTTGCGTCAGGATTCAGAGGTGGATGACTTGTGGGCGGACAGCACCGCTTCCTCCATGTTGTCTGCTTCAGGAACCAGAGGAGCAGGGATAGACGATCCCAGAGCGAATTCTGTCAAATCATGGCCCATTTTCTTGTTTCTTGCTGTAGTTCTTGGAGGGCCGTATTTGATCTGGAAGCTTTTGCGGTCTGCTGAGGGTCCTGAGGAAAATGGTGAGACATTTTTCTCCCTTCCTGTTCTGTCTGTACTCATCTAAACTGCACACACTCTTTTCACCATTTTTGGTCTGACATGAGACTAATTAAAGAAAACCAAGGATAACTTTGCTTTATTGTTCACCATTTATTGTTTATTTGTTTGTGAGAGTGGTGAAAGTTTTAGAGACCACTATTATGCTGAATATATATGATTGCTATTTATATTTTGGTTTTAACGTGGGACTATAGGAACAGTTTTGAGAATGATTTACACTACCATTCAAAAGATTGGGGTCAGTAAGATTTTTTTTAAAATAAATTAAAACTTTTATTCAGCAAGGATGCATTTATTATGACAGTTAAGACATTTATATTGTTACAAAATATTTCTGTTTTAAATAATTAGGATAAATAAATTAATTAGTTAAAATAAAAATAGCTTTCCATTCATCAGAAAATCCTTAAAAAATGTATAACAGTTTCCACAATTATATCAAGCAGCTGTTTACAAGATTGATAATATGATGAAATGTTTCTTGAGCAGCAAATCAGCATAATATTAAAATAATTTCTGAAGGACCATGTGACGCTGAAGACTGGAGTAATGTCTGCTTAAAATTTAGCATTACCATGTAATAATTTACTTATTTGTAAGGGAATTAATCATTATTAATTCATTCAGGTTTATTTCTAGCTCAGGTTTTAAAAGAACTCGACCATCACAGGAATAATTTTTAAATATTAAAATAGGAAGCAGGTATTGTAATATTAATAAAATGGTAATAATATTTTGCGATATTACTGTATTTTTTTTTATCAAATAAGTATTATAATCAATTACAAAACCAAATTTTTTTTATTTGATAATTCAGAAGTGCACATCTTTAGCAGCAGCCTATAGAAAATATTGTGTGACCTAAATGTGTTTGTATGTAGTTTTTTTTGGTATGTGTCTAAATATGTAGCTGCGTCTGAATGTTTGTGCTAGATGGAAGTTCTGAAGCATGTCTGTGTTTTATTTTATAGCCACTAACTGGGCAAGTGGGGAAGATGACCATGTGGTAGCACGAGCCGAGTATGACTTCACAGCTGCATCTGAAGAAGAGATCTCTCTACAGGCTGGAGAAATGCTTAATCTTGCCCCTAAAGGTAAAAGAACAAGAAAAAAACATAAGTGTACTTAAACACTTTGTGCAAAAAAACACTAGCTAGTGTGGCAGCTTCTCATATTAAACAATGTAATATTTTAAATTTGACTGATGTCAAGCATATTGATACCATGTACCTTTTGTCCTAGGTATTATAAACACAGACTTACAGCTTGTACTCAGCATATTTCACTCTTATTTTCAGAACAACAGCCCAGGGTGCGTGGCTGGCTCTTAGCCAGCGTGGATGGGCAGACCAATGGCCTCGTACCTGCCAACTACGTCAAAGTGTTGGGCCGGAGGAGAGGCAGAAAGCATGCAGAATTAGAGAGGATGGCACAGAACCTTCCTGCACCTCAAACTGCTCTGGCTACAGCTTCTGTTCCCAACTCCAGGCTGGCGGTCCCTGCCACATCAGTTCCAGATGAGCTGCTGAAGTCTGTTTATGGTGAAACACAAGGCCTTCATGCTTCCCTGGAGGTGCAGCCTAGCACAAACGACAACAGTGATACTGTAGTGATAACCTCAGAAAAGATGGACTTATGAGTAATTTGTATGTGCGGGAAGGTGTGTGTCTTGGTGGGACAAAAAAGTGTATCCTTCATTAGAATGTATCACCCTTTTTATAACTTAGTGCAACATCTAAAAAAAGGTGAGGAACAAATGAAAAACGGAGGTGTTGTGGAGGGGAGGTCATTTTCCTTTATAATGTATGAACTGCATAATTCCACAAATTTCAGTAGATTGTTAGGTTTAAAGACATTACCAGTATTTGTTCACATTTTCTTTCTTCAACAAAAATATTGGGTATTTCAACATGATAGTTTGTACGATTGTGTTAATAAGAGCCATTCTTTTTAAAAAATAATAATTATTAGGAAAAATTTATTCAATTTGATTTGATACACTCGCATCAAGCATAAAATGTTACAAATATGTTGTCATTCAAGCATACACAGTTAAAGGGTTAGCTCACCCAAAAATGAAAATTGGCTTGTGTTTTACTCACCCTCGAAGCATCCTAGGTGCATCCATTCTTTCAGATGAATTCAGTCGGAGTTATATTAAAAATTGTCCTGGCTATTCCAAGCTCTATCATTGCAGTCAGCGGGTGTTGCAGTTGAACAGGCCACAAGTCGTCAAATAAAGCACACGCATTCATAATAAAACGTGCCTCACACGGCTCCGGGGTGTTGAATAAAGGCCTTCTGTAGTGAATCCATGTGTTTTTGTAAGAAAAATATCCATATTTCAAACGTAATAAACACTTTTCTCTCACTTCCGTTATCTTTCATACGTGGATGGCGTTCCAGCGGAAGGCGTATGACGTATCAGCAGCGCGCGCGCCTCTGAGATATGCTAGTTTTGCAAGTCTGTTTATAGGAGCAAAGGAAGCAAAGTTTCCTTACTTTAGCAAAGGAAAACCACTCTCCTCTTGGCTTATATCGAAATCCTCCAGAACATTTTTCTTTGCAAATCTTCGGTTTGTACTTTTAATTCATGATCAGCATTTTGTTTTGTTGTCTCTCCGCGTTTGTCATTAATCACGCAACGCCGACGTCCTATGTCATCCGCTTGGCACGGCTTCTGCGTATGGCAGTTGGCGGAAGTGATATTAAAGTGTTTATTACGTTTGAAATATGGATATTTTTCTAACAAAAAACGCATGGATTCACTACAGAAGGCCTTTATTCACCCCCCGGAGCCGTGTGAAGCACGTTTTATTATGAATGCGCATGCTTTATTTGACGACTTGTGGACTGTTCAACTGCAACCCCTGCTGACTGCAATGATAGAGCTTGAAATAGCCAGGACAATTTGTCATATAACTCCGACTGGATTCGTCTGAAAGAAGAAAGTCATATACACTTAGGATGCTTCGAGGGTAAGTACAACACAAGCTAATTTTCATTTTTGGGTGAACTAACCCTTTAATGCATCTGATTAGTTTAAATTGTGAGTTCTCATATCAATCTAAATTAATAATGTAGTGTTTATCACAAATGTCTCCTAATGTAAGAGTTTTAGATTACTGTTCATCTTTCTGCAATGTGAATATTTAATATTTTAAGTTGTGTCGTATCAAGGATTAGTTTGTGCATCTTTCTGTGTTTTCAGGCTTGTTTATTTTTTCACACCACTAACACAATGTGCAATTATGTAAATACGAGCAATTATTTTGCCAGTAAATGCTTAAAAATGTATCTCCTGTCATTTATAATGTTCCTGCATTTTCAAGATTACAGAAAATGACTGATTGACATTTAGCTGGGTAAGAAATTGAGGTGCATTTGTAAATAAAAATGTGTTACACTGCAGCTCTACTAACAGTTACTCTGCTGTCAAAAGTTTGGAGTCAGTAAGATTTTTAAAAATATTTTTGAAAAATGTCTCATGCTCACTAAGGCTGCGTTTATTTATTTAAAATGTAGAACAAAAAAGATAAAGTCAGCAGTCATATCTGATGAAGAGAACTGAAAACGTCCCCTTTTTTAGTCTTTTTCTATATTTTTAGAGCTGCGGTGTGCTGACGTTATCTCTTTTTTTTTCTTTTTTAGGTTATTTTTGTCCGAGCACCCACTTTGAGCAATTTGCCAGTGATGTGTGTGCTTTTGTTTTGTGTTTGCTGTTTTAAAAGTATAGTAAAAACAGAAACATTGAATTATTACCACAATTTAAAGATACAGATTTCTATTTTAATATATTTTAAAATGTAATATATTCCAGTGATGGCACCGCTGAAGTTTCAGCAGCCATTACTCCAGTCTTAAATGTAACATGATCCTGTATTTATCATTTTTTTGTGGAAACCATGTTAATTTTTTTCATGGTTCACTGATAAATAGCAAGTTCAAAAGAACAGCGTTTATTTAAAATATAAATTTTAACATAAAAAATTTCTTTACTGTCACTTTTTTAACAATTGTGTTTTTTGCTGAATAAAAGCATTAGTTTCTTTTCATAAAATCCTACTAACCTCAAAACTGTTACAAGTTTAATCCATGGCTGCATCTCTGTCTAAAAATTAGCGTTTAGTCTGTCAGCATATCTACAGTGCTATTTGTCTTTAAGCAGTTTCATTGACTTGATTATAGAGATTATGCATTTGGGTTTGTCTGGGCCCCATATTAAAAACAATCCCATCAATCAAATGGAATGTTTGGGATGTCGCCTGGCAACGGCCAAGCCGGCGCGCACTTGCTGCACTGCGGCACCGGAAATAGAGAGCAGAGCACAGCGGCTGAGCAGGAGATGTGGAGATAATCCTGTGCCACGCGTAGCCTTTAATCGTTTTTGTCAGTGTCCTCTTTCAGGCTCGGGTCGGCAAGCTTTGGCATCCCGTCACATCGCAGCAGACAGCTGAGAGAGGAGGGACACTGCAGCGCGAGCATCATCATGATGGCACCCGAGCTCCGTGCGTGAGATCTCTGGCATTTTAACAAGAGGAGAGAGACGGATGTGGGTAGTCATGCCCACCAAACCTGCGAATTTGACGCTTAGTATTTGTTTTTATTATTATTTGTATATGCTGTGTGGATGTGAACGTTACTTGTTTCCCCGGATGAAATCAAAGTAAGCCACAGCATCTCTGTTGATGATACTCAAATCCAGGCCTTTATCAGCACCGCTCAGCTGGAATGAAAGAAGAGCATTGTTACCTGAGGAAACAGCGCATAAATCTGGAACAGGGTAAACTGATTGTGTGTGTGTGTGTATATTAGCTTAGCATTTCACAGGGTGATTCGACACAAAACGTGGGGAGTGCCACGATCTGTTATGTATTATGCTAGCTAAGCATTTTTATAGCTGCACACAATGAACATTATTTGCTGACGCGCTCCGAGCTCCGTGCGTGAGATCTCTGGCATTTTAACAAGAGGAGAGAGACGGATGTGGGTAGTCATGCCCACCAAACCTGCGAATTTGACGCTTAGTATTTGTTTTTATAATTATTTGTTTATGCTGTGTGGATGTGAACGTTACTTGTTTCCCCGGATGAAATCAAAGTAAGCCACAGCATCTCTGTTGATGATACTCAAATCCAGGCCTTTATCAGCACCGCTCAGCTGGAATGAAAGAAGAGCATTGTTACCTGAGGAAACAGCGCATAAATCTGGAACAGGGTAAACTGATTGTGTGTGTGTGTGTATATTAGCTTAGCATTTCACAGGGTGATTCGACACAAAACGTGGGGAGTGCCACGATCTGTTATGTATTATGCTAGCTAAGCATTTTTATAGCTGCACACAATGAACATTATTTGCTGCAAACGGTATATTGTCTATTGTCTGAGCTCATAACATCACTTTACCAGATCAAATGCGACAGCTGTCATTCTCTCAGTTTGTCCCTTGTTTCTCTGAAATTCAATACAAAGGGACGGTAGAGAGCTAGTCGATGCTAATTGTCAAGGTTATTCTTAAAATATAAACTTTTTTTTTTGACAGTAGTTGATAGTTTTCTTCCTTTTCGCAGAAATGAATCGTCTGTGCTCTGTTAATAATAACTTTCCATATGATAACAACCTGCTGGTGCTGGACATGGTCCTGAGCTCACTATGGGCTTCATCTCAGACAGTCAACTGGGAGAATGTTGCCAAGTTGGTCCCAGGGTTCACACCTAAAGAGGTAAGAGAAATGAGGACCTTTAATACATAAACCAACTATATTTGCTTTGTTATAAACTATAAAAACTGTATTCTTGGTTTAAAAAAAGTAATTATTCATATTTTACCACAGACTATGATGAAATAAACAAAGGATGAGAAAGAAAAACAAGCTATTTCCATTGTTGTGTGAAAATGTTTTATATAGATATTTACAGATATTAGCCTATAGTGATAGATATAGACATTTATATAGTTGTGGGGTCATTTCTATCACAGCCAACATTGTTTTATCTAAAGTTAGTGTACTTGGTTACCAAATAAACAAAAGCATCAGTAAATCAGTGAGCATGCTTGAAATGAAATATGGGGACATGGATTGGGATTAATGTCCAGTCAAGTTGTAATTTAGTAAAAAAATAATAATAATAATGCACAAGTGTGAAAAAATTTATAATTGTTTATGTTGAATACCTGTGAATTTAACCTTAGTAAGAAAAAAATTTAATTTGTGCTATTATTCTACAAATATTTAATATAATAATCCAAAATATATAAAAAAAATATAATATTTAATATTATAACAATAATATTGTACATCACAAAATGCTGTCAAACACAGTGCATACATTTGACAGTTTAACACCCACACTTTTCACACAAAGATCCAGAAGTTTCTCAGCAAATGTTTAACTTGTTCAGCTTCTTCTCATATATTTTTATAGTGTGCGCAAAGGTTTGAAGAGTTAAAGACTACAGGCAGTTTCCCTCATGTTGATGACCAGTGTAACCCACTGACCGGCGCAGTGAGCTCTCCATCGGAGCCCTTTTCCACCTACATCAAATCCAATTTATTGGACATTACCGTAGATACAGGTGAACCACCGTCCAATCAGGCCACTCACTCAGAGTCAGGTGAGTCAGTGGGTGGGGTCTGGATCAAAAATATCCAGTGTGTCATTTAATGCTGGATTACACCGTAATATACTGAATTATATATTCAGGCCTCACTGTTATCTCTACTGGTCGTGGAGCCTCTGCAGAGAGTGAGATTGCAGATCCTGCCAAGAAGATTGAGAAAACAGAAGGGAATAAAATGTGAGGCACATTCACACCAATCAGGCCATCAATGAATCGCCTTCTGCTAATAGTAACCGTCTATTTTTTTCTTTTATTTCCTTTCACATAGCCCCAACATGGTAATCCACGTTTGTGATGAGGCAAAGAACCTGAAGCTGGACTTTGTGTGTCCAAGGAACCTTCTGGTAAAAGAGATGCGTTACTTTGAAGAGTATCTTTCTGTGGACCCACAGCGATGGGACGAGGTAGACATTTCTGTCCACTGTGACGTCCAGATCTTCGACTGGCTCATGAACTACGTCAAGAGTCACAACACTGAACATTCGCATGGAAAACACATGGACAAACCCAAACTGGGTAATTGTCTTTTGGTAACTATTTAAGATGTTCTGTGTGTGTTTACTGTTGTGTTTTTAATTTCTATAATCAAAGATACCATCAGAGGTGTTGTGTAACGTGTGTTCTCTGACCTGGCTGAATGGTGTTTGTAAGTGGTGGATGGTGTTTCATTTGTTTGTAAACGGTTATGCGTTGGCTCTGAGTTTGATGTTTTGCTGTTTGTGATGTTGTTGGTTATGTTATGTGGTGTTTGGTTGCAGAGCACAGCAATGTCATCTCAATCCTGATCTCCTCCGAGTTCTTGAAGATGGAAACTTTAGTAAGTGTTGTGAGGGGTGACGATGTTTTGGGCAATGTAGTAAGTGTGCTCTGAGCTGGGTGACCGTTAGGTAATAGTGCATGATGCATGATGGCTGTTTCATCATTTGTGTTTGTCTATACACTGCCCAGACAAGCACTAATGAGACACACAATTGTAATTTTGAGGAAAGACCTGGTGAATTTTGATGGCTTTTTGTGCTTGGAGAAAATGATCAATAATCAGATCATTATAATTATCCAAAAACTTGTCTGAGCAGTGTGCAGAAAGCATGTTGGTTTATCTCATCAGAAGTTATTCATCCAATTGTTAAATGGGCTTCAGGGGTTTGATTATCATTGTGTTTTGTGGATCTGAAGGTTGAGGCGTGTATCCAGTATTGTCACAAACATATGAGTGCCATCATAGCAACGCCGTGCAATATGAACTGCATCAACAACAACCTGGCTGGACGCATCGCTGATCTGTTCAGCCACAATGAGGCAGATGACCTCAAGGACAAAAAAGACAAATTCAAAAGGTGAGAACAGCCCACACATGAAACAGAAACATAATTATGTAAAGGTGGTGGATATTTATTGGCTATAGCAGTCTCTTGTGCTCACCAAGTCTGGATTTATTTGCATTTATTTGATCAAATACGGTTAAAGCTGTTATATTGTGAAATATTACAACAGTTTAAAATAACTTGCAACGCTGCATTTTCAGAATAATAAGAAGATACATCTCTTTACTGTTGCTTTCGATCAATTTAGTTCATTCTTGCTTAATAAAAGCATCCATTTCTTTAAAAAAAAGAATCTTACTGACCCAAACTTTTGAATGGTAGTGTACAGATAATATAATTTTAATACAATAATGTTCATATAAGATACATATAAGTATTCCACTATTTTATTTGTGATGATTTGTACTTTCTCATCAGTAAACTGTTTCAGAAGAAGATCGAGAGATTATTTGATCGTGGTTATCAGAATCACGATTCCCCTGGTAACGCATCTACTCTGTACAGGTGAGAGACTTTTGCGTTGCAGTGCAAGCTATAATACTGTATTAGCATGATAATAGCATAATGTATTATTGTATAGACATGCAGTGGAAGTATTATAAATTATTCTTCTAATGCAATAAAGTGGATTTCAGTGTAGTAATTTAATGTTGTGGTTCTTTCTCCAGATGTGGACTTTGCCTTAAGATTTTAACCAAAGAAACTGAGAGAAAAATTCCTTGTGTTCCAAACAAAATCAACATAGATGCCCGAGGAAACATTGTATTCACTCACACCAGGTTATATAAGACACTGTATTTTAATCACATACACATAAAGTGTTTAAAACACTCTATCATTGAAGTTTTATGTTCCAAATGCCTACTATATATTCCAGACTTATACACTCGCGCGCGCGCGCACACACACACACGTACACATATATGATGACATGTTGGTAATTGTGGTGTGTCTGTAGACATAAGGCCTGGGAGGTACATGAGTTTGTGAATGGGCTTTATGAAGAGTTGAAGTCCTGGGTACTGGTCTACTGGAGGATCTGGGGCACAATCAACTTCCTTACCTGTTCACGCTGCAAACAGGTAAACAAATGTATACTTCACAAGTCATAATTTAAGACTTTTGTACAGGACAGGAAGATTTAAAGGAATAATTCACACAAAAATAAAAATGTACTGAAAATGTACTCACCCTCAGACCATCCAAGATGCAGATGAGTTCAATTTGAAACAGATCTTGAGAAATTTAGCATTACATCACTTGCATACCACTGGATCCTCTAAAGTGAATGGGTGCCATCAGAATGAGTTCAAACTGGATAAAAACATCACAATAATCCATCCAAATAATTCAAAGTCATCTACATGACACCAGGCCATCAATCAATGTTTTGTGATGTGAAAAGCTGCATGTTCATAGGAAACAAATTCATCATTAATGCGTTTTAAATTAAAACTGTCCGAAATTCCAGTCCATAGTCCAGCCTTCCACCAGTGAAAAATCCACCGTCCTTTCCCCCCATTGTCCTATCATATCAAAGTCCATCAACATATTTGTTTGGAACTGTTTTGGACTGTTTTCAGTTGTAAATGGTGCTTGATCTATGCATATTTCTCTCCTGATTCAGATGAGACAACATTTTCACTGGAGAAACCAATATTATGGAGAGGACTATCCATAATAGCTGGAAGCAACAGTGGGATTTAAAAAAACATCTTAATGATGAATTCATTTGTTACAAACACACAGCCTTTTGCTTCATATATGTTAATTGATGGACTGGAGTCATGTGGATTATTAAAATGCTTTCTCATTCTGATGGCACCCATTCACTGCAGAGGATCCATTAGTGAGCAAGTGATGTAATTTCTCCAGATCTGTTCTTATGAAGAAACAAACTCGTGTATATATATGTTAAATGGCATGAGGTTAGTACACTTCCAGCAAATTTTCATTTTTGGGTGAACTTTTTCTTTAATTATGGACATCGAGTATGTATAGATATTGATTGGTTGGCTGCCACCTTGAGTAATTTAAAAGTAAAAATGGGAAATAAGTGCATGTTGTATCATCTTGGCAGGCATTCCTGTGTACAGATTTGGGCCAGTGTAAGTACCACCCAGAGACGGTTGTGTATCCTGGCATTGGGGCAGATCATAGATGGCACGGCATTGGTCTTTACCCCTGCTGCAACCAGAAAGTCCTAAGATTCGATCCCTCCTCCATGCCCAAGGTTTGTGTTGTTGCTTTAGAATATGTTCTCTTGAACTCAGATGACCTTTGAACCTGTCTGACTTTTCACCACGAATGCCTGTGTATGTCTGTGTAGGGCTGTAAAATAAGAGACCACATTGTGAGTGCAGCAGATGGTGGTGACTGCGGTGATCACAATGTAAACTCAACCCAGACCAGAATACTCAATGACCTGCTGCTACACAGAGAGGCTGTGTGTGTGCCAGAGAGGTCAGACTATAGTAACTTCCTTTAGAAAAAAATGATTGGTTCTTTGTTGCATGCCATGTTTGATGCTTTGCCTAGTGTTGTGTTCGGGTCTTTTGACAATGTTTTATGTTCTAATCCATTTTGTTTAGCTGTAGCTCTGAGGACCCTTCTGCAGGCAGTGAACGTGTGCCAGGATGTGATGTAATGCTGGAGCCAGGGGTGCTTACAGCTCACAGACCCAAGGAAACCACAGCGGTGAGACTTTTATTATTATTTTATTTTATTATTTTTGTGTGTGATTTATATATGTGAACATTTTCTTTTTTATGCAACCATCAACAACATACATTACCGGTTTACAATTTAAACAGTGTTTGATTTTAATTTTTTTTAATTACTCCAGCCTTCAGTGTCACATGATCCTTCAGAAAACTTTCTAGTATACTAATTTGATGCTGATGTGTATTAGTATTTTTCTTATTTGATTTGGATTTGATGCTGTATTTTTGATCAAATAAATGCAGCCTTGGTAAGAATAAGAGACTTCTCTCAAACACATTTAAAATCCTAATTCAAATCAGTAGTGTACAATCACAAATTAACACAAGACCATACAAAAAAACAACAACAACCACAATGAAGAAAATATCTAGTGACATCTATCATGTACATAAAAAAACATAAATCATAACAAACATTTCCTTTCCAAGATCTTTCCTACTTTATTGTATGAAAACCAATTATTATCTGAAAAATATTGTTAAAAAGTGATAATTGTGAGATAACATTTAAAAATAATTTCACATTGTGAGATATAAAGTTGCAATTGTAAGATAAATATGCAATTGTAAGAAATACATTATGACAATCACATTGTGAGATATTAAGTCACAGCTACAAAAAATACATTTGCCATTGTGAGATAAATTTGTGTTATTATAATATCAAATTACATTCTAAGATATTAATTATGTCATAATTGTGAGACATATTTTTTTTTATTATTGTCATCAGTGGAGGAATCAGGATTTAATTTATTTTGATGGATGCATCGGTTTAAATTTTCTTAATCTAAGTTTGTTTGTACATGCTCAAATTATAAGCACAATTCTTTTTTTCTTTTGTTGCAGTTTTCACTGTTAAAAAACTGGAGTCTTCAGCTGGTAAGAAGAAAGTTCCTCAAATATTAAATTTTCTATATACCTACACTGACAAACACATCTGAAATGTTGCTTTGACCTTTTGCAGCGGCAGCAGTCTCTGCTGTCTGAAGATGAGGAGTACACTACAGGGTCAGAGGTCACAGAGGATGAGGTCGGGGATGAAGAAGACACATCAAAAAAACAAGGTGGACTAAAATGTTACACATTAGTGAAAAAAAAAGCCAGATAATCTTTAATAGGCAGTACTTCATTATGGTCAAAAGGTGGCAGTCATGTACAATTTCAACGAGACTGACCTTAAATCTGGGTTTGTGACTTTGTGTGCATAGCTGCAAAGAAGGCAAGAAAATCTGGAAAACCTTTGAAAAGACAAGTGTCCTCCCCCAGTTTCCAGCGTAAGGAGAAATCTGGAGAAAAGGTGAGTGCAACAAATTCATTGGTGCTTGATTATTTTTTTTATTTTTTATTTTCCAAGCAAAAGGACTTTTACGTGGGAAAACACATTTTCTTTAGAAAACTCTGGTCTGGTTTAGTTGTTGTTGTTGTTGTATGTCACTTTTCTCTTTTCATCTATTCTGTTCTTTTGTTTTAAAGGCACCATCTCGAGACTCCACCCCATTCATGTAAGTGATTCCAAAGACTTGCCGTTTTCTGTAGAAGAATAAGTGGCGAATTTCAAGGGTTAGTTCACCCAAAAATGAAAAACTCTCATGTTGTTCGTTCTTCTTTGGAAATCAAAAGAAGATATTTTGGTCCATATAGTGAGTCATTGGGGTCCAATGTTGTTTTGGACCCCATTTACATTAATTGTACTGACAAAACAGTTTTGACAAAAATTTTTAAAAAATTATACAAGTTTGGAATGACATGAGGGTGAGTAAATGATGACAGAATTAAAATTTTGGGGATGAAATATCACTTTAAAATACAAGAACATTTAAGTCCACTGTTAATGTACTGTAGTATTGCATTATTTATTTTTTATTTAATGTACTTGTTTGCAGCTTTAATTTACATTAAACATACTGTTTTCTGTATGTGTGATCTTAGTTTACATTTTTTTTTAACACTGTGTTGTAATGGTTTCTCATGCCATGTGATTGAGAAGGGATTTCTCCGCTTCTAAATGAGACATTTGGCACATTTTTTCTCTTTCTTTGTCCTTCTTTCGCTCTTAGCGTCAGCATCCAGAAGAATAAGTGGGATAGCAATCGCTCCTTGAGGTACAATCAGGACGCACAGAGGGAGGAGGGTAGGTACCTTTTTCAGATCCTCTGACTGTAACAAAGATTCTTACAATTGCACAGTGGTAGAGCGAGTCTTATAATAAAAAGAGTTGTGATTTTAAAACCACTCGAAAACCCTAGAAAATCTCATCAGAGAAAGTTAAATCCAGCCATCAGCATGCACATCTGCCAACTCTTTGCTGACTAAATCGCTGTTTTTGTTTTATAAAGATTTTTGTATTCAAAATAGGATTAAAACTGTAGCCTCACCATTATTTAATGATTTGTAATGGTGATTAATCAATGGTATTAAATAATTTAGAGGCATTCTTGGCTGTGTTTCTGACATGGAAGCTTTCAAGTAGATTATGTGTAGATTTGCAGTGATCTTGATGGATGTCTATACTTTCAAACTCACTGTAGATCTGAGGAGAATGGAGGAGATTATATCAAATCTCACTAAAATGCGCTTTGGTGATCAAGAGCAGACTAAGTTTAAAGACACAAAAGAGGTACAAAACATCTTTACTCTTTTAGATAAACTTGCTAAAGCACCATTAAGACTGTTTTTCACATGCGTGTTCTGATTTGTTGCTGTTTTATTACCATCTTTTACAGCAGTATTCCAACATTGTACTCTAGTATTTTGCACCCATGTGTGTTTGTGTGGTTCCAGCCTGCAGGGGGGCTCTACTCAAGGCTGGAGGCCCAATTTAAGGCCTCCTCTCAGTCCAGCGGAAGACACAGCAGCTCAGAGAAAACGCTAAGGTACCACAGTCACCTCCAGCACTGAGGACACTGCACAAACGAGTCAGTGGAAGTGTTTCAAATTATGATTCATGATTTTAATCATGAGATTTGGAAGGATTTACTAAACTGGCTTTTTACTGGCAAATTTAAAGGGATGGTTCACCCATAAATATTTCTTCTTTGTAAATCGAAAGATATTTTAGTCCATTTAGTGAAAGTCAGTGGGGTCTAGTCAGTAGCGGCTCCTGACCGTAAATTTAGGTGGGGCAGATTCTGGGTTGTAGCACTAATATATGAAAAACATTTTGTAAACTTTATATTCTAATCTCTGAACACATGTGGACAAAATTTTGGCAGAGATGTCCTTGCGTTATCCTGTGGGTGGCGCGCTAATGTTGATTGACCGGCTCGGAGAACATGCATAAACTGCTGTATTATAATTGCCTTAATATAGCATCTATCACCTCCAAATGTTGATTTAGAATGTTACAAGTTGTGGAGCAATTCGAGTGAGGAAAGACGATCATATGTCTATTCTCAGAATAATAATAAAACAAACACAATATAACCACATAAAGGCCATTCATGTGAGCACATTTAAACTAAAGGATTTATACTTTGTTAATTTGATCCACTACTCCACATAGAAAAAAACAGACATGCCAACTAGTTACTGACCTGATGCAGGCACATAGCTGAAGCGGACTGATGTGGTCTTGGTGGAGCAAGGTTTACGTAAGGTAACGTTCCCCTTTTCACCACAGATTTACGTTGCAAAATTGTGGGGCGCTGTTGAGCTCGGGAGGTCTCAGGCACCATCTGCCCCGTTTAGTATCATGTATACATGCCTGCTAAAGCCATGCGCGGAATTTTAATATATACTGCTTACTTTACGACTTAAAATAGTCTAGAAAATCCGAAAAATATTTGTTGCCGAATGCTGAACACATTCACAATTTATTATTGTTTCAGTTTATATAGAGGTATATGTTGTGGATGAATATTTTAGTGGGATTCTACCCCACCTGCCCATAAAGACGAGCCGCGCCTGGGTCTAGTGCTGTTTTGGACCCCACTGACTTCTATTGTACAGACATAAACAGTTGTAAATTCTTCAAAATATTGTCTTGTGTGTTTTACTCCAAAAAAAAAAAATGATGACAGAATTAAAATTTTTAGGTAAACGATCCTTTTAAAATACAATAACTTTTAATGGAAGACCCAAAGCCCACTGCTTATATAATATTGCTTTACTTCGTAATTGACTCGCTTGCAGCTTTAAATTTACTTTTTTACTTACTCCCTTTCTCCTATTCTCTCAGTTCCATTTTTAACCAGCACTTTGGTCTTTTTTTAGAGCGAAGATACGCTCGGGGCCTTCGAGACCGACTTAGAGAAAATGTGGAGATAAGTGGATGAGTTTTTGAAAAGGAGGAGTAAAAGAGCTTGCTGCTGTTTGACGAGGCAGAATAACCCATCGCTCTCTTCGTCCATCCTTTGCTCCACTCCTCACTCCCTCCTTCTCCCAAACTCCGTCCAGACACAGCAGGAATAGCATTAGAGTCTTTTCCGTTGCAGTCCCGGGAGAAGAATGGATTGCTGGTGTGGTCACTGATGTCATAACTGTAGCTATATAACATAAACAATGGACCTAATAAAACCATCAGTTGCACTGTAAACAATACAAGCTTTTGGCTGCTAATGAATTGGTTGCACCCACTAATCTGTGTTACACTAGTACTGTTTATTTTGCACCTTTTGCTTTATCTCATCTCATGTCTAGCTCAGGATTCATCCCAGCCGCAGTGTGTTGTAATGTCCCTGCTTCATTCTAGCCGACTCAGGTGACCAGAGAAAGCTCATCTCCGTGGTACTGACCCTGCACTTTAAGCCGTCTTAATGCAATGACTCAAACCTGTATAATACGCTAAGAAGCCACTGGGTAAAGAGCGACGCTGACGACTAATACCTGTGAGGTCTATGATTATGTTGCACTGAAACTATCACAACTGTGCCATTTGGACCAATGTGACATGAGGGAGAATACAGAAGCAGTAGAATAAAAATCATTTAAAATAAACCGGTGTCTTTTTTACAAGTTCTCATGAAATGAGATATTGCCTGGCCTTTGATTTGGAAAAATTCTGTATGTAAATACACAGTCCTCTTTTATACAATTCCTTTGTGTTTGAAAAAGGAAGGTATTAGTGGTTTATCTCATGATCGGTCAGTCATATCATTGAAGAGGATTTCCAGCTCACCATGACAACAGGAAAGGGAAGTAGAACGTTCTGCTTGTGTGGGTGGAGGCGGGGAACTTCGATGAGCTGGTCTGCCTTTTTTGGTGACAGTCGGTGTTTGATTGAGCTCAGGCAGGTTGGGTTACCGTGCTGGGCCACAGACTGGCTCAAGAACACAAATGATCATGTGTTAATTCCCTCTTTGCTGGTGGGAACTAGATCCATCACAACCCCCACCATTCAATGCGACAGATATCTCTCTCTTTCCAAGAGTTATCTCTCTCTTACTCTGTAGAGTTGACAGTTCTGAGGCAGCAGACCATTTGGTTCTAAATACTTTAAGTCATTTAGCAGACGCTTTTATCCAAAGCGACTTACAAATAAAAAAAAGTAATTAAAACTAAAAGCTAAAACTATAAATATTATATATATATATACACATTTAAGAAAATAAAATAAATTAAAATGACAAATGCATACAACAACATTTCAAAACTAAACATTTAAATGAAAACAAAAAAATAAAGCTAAAAACAATTCAAAATATTAAAAGAACAAAAGGTATGAGTATAATAATGATTCTAACATAACACTAAGCCAAACACCAAAAAACAACTACATATGTGTATGTACAGCCACACATATACATATGTACACATATATATATATATATATATATATATATTATTTCATTTCCATTTTGTATGTTGAAGTACTGAAATAACTCAAATAAAACTAAAACTTAATAAAAAACCTATATAGACATAATAAAAAACTAATAAAATGACAACATTACTACAACTGTAACTGAAACTAAAATAGATAACTAATACAAATCAAACTACATTAGTTCATCAGTAATCCTAAAAAAATAACACCGAGTCAAACACACATGCTAAAATAACAACTTACTGACACATAGTAAGAAATGGTTATAAAAAACTGAAACAGAAGTGAAACAAGTAGTATGAATAGCTAAAATAAATAGCACTCTGACTCAAAACAATTATTATTGGATTTCCTTTACTTGCCATTTTATTACTAAATTACCAGTTAATTTCCATCTGTGTTTTGAACGCTTTAAAAAAGATATGGTTATATTTACACTACCATTCAAAAGTTTGGGGGTCAGTGATTTTTTTTTTATGTTAATGAGTCTTTTATGCTTAACAATGCTGCATTTATTTGATCACAAATGCAGTAAAACGGGAATACTATGAAATATTACCATTTTAAAAACAGTTTTCTATTTTAATATATTTAAAATGTAATTTATTCCTGGCGAAGCTGAATTTTCAGCAGCCATTACTCCAGTCTTCAGTGTTACATGATCCTTCTAATATGCTGATTTGGTGCTCAAGAAAGATTTTTTCATCAGTGTTAAACAATTGTGCTGCTTAATATTTTTGTGGAAACTGTGATTTTTTTTTTTTTTTAGGATTCTTTGATGAATAGAAAGCTCAGAAGAATAGCAGATTTTCAATGTGTCATGCAGATTCTTAATGAACTTTTAAGCGTCAAGATGGAAAATGTCAAGCTGTAATAAAAATGATACAGATGACAGGAATCAGATTAGTTATTATGAACAGAACGAGCAGCGAGCAGCAGAGCTAGGGTAAAGGTGGACGGACAGTAGCTGCCCTCATTCCCTCAGTACTTGGTCAAAGGTCATATCCTCATCATTCAATGCTCTTTTGTCTATTGTTATTTGTAACAAATGCTTTGTTAGCAGTGGTGTTGTGCAGTTGTTTAGAATGGCATGAATTTGTTTTCTTTAGAGAATGAAAGTACTATGCTAACCATTTTGGATTAAGGTATTATATAATCCACATCTTCCTGTTGCTAAAATATACCATAAAATATACAAATGTGAATTTTTTTAAAGCTAAATAAATCACATTGTCACTATAAACTATTTGCTGAAGTTATAAACATTGCTACACCGTTTAGCCATCAGTCACACGAATAGGGAAAAGCCAAATGCCATTTCTAGATCAAGGCAATATAATTTATTACTCGTGTTTTGGTTTGTACTATCGTCGCTAGAGGGAGCAGTTTGTATCTAAACATGATCCTCTTGAAGCCAAACTTTCTGTGCAGCAAGGCCTCCCTCATTGTCTGTGTTGTTGTCATGAAGTTCACCTCTCTCAAGAAGGACAGAGCTATTTATAGTGACCACCATTAGGAAGACACTCCTGCAAATAGCCCAAGCTACAACAAATAGCTTGTAATTCTTTATTATACAATGCACAGTTTAAATAAGCAATCAAATAATTAAATATAATATTCAAGTAAATGTTTTATATTTTAATGTGAATATGCGTCAAATTACATTAGTGCTGCTTCATGATGGTAAGCTTGTTGATTTTATAATGAATGTATAATAATGATAATCATTTAAATTAAAAATAATTTATTATTAATAATAAATGACTTAAATATAGCCTGGTCTTTATGTGACCACTTACAAAATTATTCACTATTAAAAGTGAAATAAGGCAGAAGTCACAGGTTATGAAAAAGTACATATCACACCCTAAACATGACAACTGTCAAACTTGTTTGAGTGACGGGGAGGAGCAGGTGATCTCATTATGATGTATGTAAATGGCAAGGCAAGACCAGACAGAACTGGGTTAAGCCAGCCCAATCCTGAACAGAGCAGCCCACCTCGTTTCACATGTATGTGCCACAATGCATGTGCATGGCTTCTCTCCTCGACCCCTCCTACTGCTCACTTCAGCAAGATGACCTCTTTCGGTCGTCTCCGTGACCCTGTTAACTTTCAGACCCTCTGTATGTGCTGATTAATGACATACTTTAATAGAGGAAACATGCAAGGTTTTCACATCAGCGTAAACAAAAATGCGTTCCGTCCTTTCGTATATATGCATGTTCTGGGACCTGCAATAAGCAAAAACAGACGTCCAGAGAAGTTTCAGTGGTTTATTGTATTTCTCAAAATAATTCAAAACAGCTGAGACAACAAAGAAAGGAAGCACGGCGAGTTTTCTGTTACACAAAGTGAAGTCATAGCCTGAGGAACATCAGTTCTAAAATAAGAGCACATTTGCTGATTGCTGTTTTAAAGCAGTTACCATGCTTAATTTTGGGATTTCAACTCAATGTCTCTCAAATGATGATCTGTGCAAACACATTTAAACAAAACAAAAACATGACATACAAATGGACAATATTATTCAGCTCATACTAGGCAGGTGACAATTTATGAAGGATTATCTAAAAGATATGAAGACGCAACCACTCTTTGTTCATTAATTACTAATTGTTTTATTATAAAACCTGTAGTAAAGTATTCAACAGTAAAAAAAACTAAACTGGAACATCAACCTTCTTGTGGTTGAGTGAATTTCGCCTGTGATTCCTGGAAAGCAGGTTGACATGTGTGACAGTGACTTTACTCGCAGACAGGTAAACATGACACCTACAATTCATTTACACCACATCTCACTTATCTCAGCGTGGGACCTACACGGTATAAAAGATAAAAGGAGTAAATATGGATCTGATTCATACAACAACAGCTGATTATCAAATTATGCCTGGACCCATTAAATGCAGAAAACTGCTATGCTAGTGTCTGTTCGAGAATAAACCTGCTGCATTTGGATTAAAGTTTCACCTTCACTGGAAGCAAGATCAGTTTGTTGGTTAAATCTGAGCATATGATTTACCAAATTACTGGTCCTAAACTGCTGTAACACTGCTTATTTAGTTAACCATTTTAAAAGGTGTGTAGAATGGGCCACATGCTGAACTAAAGGGAAATACTGTATCAGATATTCAACATGTATAAAATGCACACCATGACCTTATGAAATGTAACAGTTTTATAAAAAATGCATACGCATAAATGACTTGACTGCAGGGCAATGTATTATTTTTCTCATCCTTTGTTCAGTACAGACACTACAGTAGTTTGCACACAAAATCCAGTATTTTTCCATCAACTGACGTTTAAGTGGCGTTGCGTCACGTGACTTGCGAAGGGGAAGGAGGGCGGAGCGTGCCATGCAAGCGTTTGACGTCTCTATGAAGCTCCACACTGACAGTTTATTTGTATATTTTCGAGTGATTCGATGTGTTTATAATACATCACTGCCACATTGGAGTTAACTTCGCGGTTGCTAAGTTTATGGAGACCATCACAAGCCAATTGTATCAGGCTCTGACCCATGCCATGCGTATCATACCCTGACTCTGAACAACCACTCCCCTTCGTGGCTCGTGGAAAATTACCAGCTTACAATCAGCACAAGTACAAGCTCCAACATCCGCCTCACGGACTCGATGCCCTCGATCTCCTTCAGGCCACCGTGAACTTCATTTTCCCGAACATGTACACAATTACCAAGCGATCACTATTGTTGACTATCAAAAAACGGTTAATTTAAAGCTCACGGAATATATAAACGCGGCTGTTTTTCGAAAGAGTAGCGCAAAATACGTAACTCCGAAATGGCATTTCTCTGTAAAAGCAACAAATAATGCACGGCCATAATATTATCGCTAATTACAAGTCCACTCTGAGTCTGCACGCAGTTTGCCTTCTTTTTCTCTAAACGGGCGGAGCAATCGCGTGGGCGCTCGAAAGAGTTGAGATTGATTGACGTGCGCGTCGTCCAATGGATCGCCAGTAAGGACGTGCTTAGCAACGCTGCGTCCAATGGCACGCCTCCATGGGCGTGACGTTAATGCAAACTTTTCGCGGCGCCATCGGCTGAAAACTAAACCGAGATGGAATCTCCCAGTCTGAACCGGTTTCAACCGGTTACAAGTTTGATGCTTGTGAGAAGAAGAGGCACAGGCTCAGTCTCTA